TAGGGCAAGGGAAGCAAAGGAAAAAAATACACAAATGGAACTACATCAAGTTTAAAAGCTTCTGCACAGCTAAAGAAATCATTAGCAGAATGAAAAAGGAACCCACTCCAAGGGAGAACATATTTGCCAATGACACATAGGATAAAGGTTTAATATCTAAAATATATGAAGAACTCATATGACTCAACACCAGGAAGTCAAACAATCCAATCAAAAAATGGGCAAAGGACCTGAATAGACACTTCTTCAAAGTTAACATATGGACAGACCAGAGACATATGAAAAGATGTTCAACATCACTAACTATCAGAGAGATGCAGATTAAAAGCACAATGAGATATCACCTCACACTTGTCAGAATGGCCATTATTGATAAATCAACAAGTGCTGGTAAGGCTGTAGAGAAAAAGAAACTCTCATGTACTGTTGGTGGGTATGTGGACTGGTGCAGCCACTGTGGAAAACAGTATGGAATTTCCTCAAAAAATTAAAAATTGAACTGCTCTTTGACCCAGCAAATTTTACTTCTGGAAATATATCCTAAGGATCCCCAAACACCAATTCAATTGAATATATGCACCCCTATGTTCATAGCAGTGCTATTTACAGTAGGCAAGATTTGGAAACAGCCTAAGTGCCCAACAGAAGATGAATGAGTCAAAAAAAGTGTGGTACATTCACACAATGGAATACTATGCAGAAGTTAAAAAGAAGGAATTTTTACCTTTTGTGACAGCATGGATGGAACTGGAGAATATTATGCTAAGTGAAATAAGCCAATTGGTGAAAGACAAATACCATATGACCTCACTTGTAAGTGGAATCTAATGAACAAAATAAACTAATAAGCAAAATAGAGCCAGAGGCATAAAACATGGAACAGAATGACAACTGTAAGAGGGGAAAGGGGAGGTGAGGACTGGTTGAAAGAAGGTGAAGGGATTAGTCAAAGAACATATATGCATGACCCATGGACATGGACAATGGTGTGGTGATTTACTGTAGGAGTGGGAGGTGGGCTTGGTGGAGGGAGAAAAAGGAGGAAAGGTTGGGACAACTGCAATAGCATAAACAATAAAATATTTAAATTTAAATAAAGTAAAAAAGAGAATGCATCAAGTTAGTGTTCCCCCAGCTGCTCTTCTCACAACCTCAAAATATATTCTTCCTCTTGCATTTCCCATTCTCATTAATGTCAGCTACTCTAGCTAGCTTTCCTATTTTGGGTCCAGTCAATAGGAACTTTAAATTATCTCTCGTTTCCTTCATCACATCCTACCACTGACACTCTTGTTTAGGCATTTGCCTTCATATCAGTTATCACTGTAGCTTCCCAAATCTACCAGCATTGTTCTTAATTCATCCTCCACCACTGGAATGATTTTTTAAAATTATCATTCTGATGTTAGGTGGTTGCAAGAGACCAATGAGATGAGAATGTTCTTTTGGCATTTGAGTGAATGATGAAATATTACCTAGGTATAGATTGAAAGAAGAGCAATATAAGAGGAGAGGCAGTACATATGTAGGTAGAAATGTCACACATTCATTCAAAAACAACCACTGAGCCCTGGCTGGGTAGCTGAGTTGGCTGGAGTGTGGAATGAAGGTTGCAGGTTAAATCCCAGGTGAGGGCACATACAGGAAGCTACCAATGAATGTGTAAATAAGTGAAACAACAAATCAGTGTTTCTCTATCTCTCCTTCCCTCCCCCTATCTCTCTCTAAAATAATAAATTAAAATAAAAGTAAAATCATTGACCATTTGCTATGTGCCAGGCACTCTTCTAGGTGCCAGATATATGACAACAAAAAGGCAAATTATCTCCCCTCATAGAAGTTACATTTGAGTGGTAAGGGGAGATAAAGTAGCAAGCACAAGCAAATAAATATATATTACTTTAGATGGCGATATTTTAAAAAGTAGCTAAGGGAGGGAGTGATGGAAGTAGAGAGTGTTAATGGAGGATCAGGTAGTCAGAGAAGGACTCAAGACTGATGACATTTGAATAGAAGCTGTGCTATAAAAGTACAATGACTAATTGGTACAAGGATATCAAAATAGAAGGGATTACTTCCAATCAAGGAGATGGTATTTGTGTTGGCCTTGGGAGAAATTTTATGGATGCTGATTCATGGAAAGGGTAAATCCAGATAAAAGGAATTGTATGAGACAAAGCTGAAAAGTTCATATTACATTCAGAAAATAATCAGTTATCAATCATAATAGAAATAAGTGAAATCTGACTGTGGTAGTGTTTGAGTGCCACGTTACTATTTGGGCTTCATTCTCTGCTCTGTGAGGAATCATCAAAAGTTTATGAACATGAATGTCACATGTCCACAAGTGTGCTTTAAAACAAAATGTAACACAGGAAGTTGAGTCCAGTGACCTTGACCACTCATTTGGATTAGTAAAAAAAACCCACAAGAAGGACCTAGTGGAACAGACATAGCCTTTATTACTTAAATTACAGGGAACAGTGATAGTAGGAAGTCTGCTAAGTAGGACTGCATTACCCCTGCCGTCCCTGTCCAAGACTAATTATAAGGGGTCCCAGACAAAGAGGGCATGAGTCCAAGTTACACAAGGTTTCATGTGGCTTAAAGTTATGTCATAATACGTCAATGCTTATATTCAAAAAGAAAAGGTCAAGAAGCACTCCAGCAAGAAACAAGTCCCCTGGGGAGATAGGGAGGGGAGCCACACATTGTCCCTTGGGACAATACAGATTCCTTCTGGCCAGGGTCCCTCTGGCCAGCCTTCCATCACAGGGCCGGGATTTGGTAGAAAAGCCATGTCCAACATGACCCTACAAAAATAATCTTTATTATTTATTTATTTTCAAGAATCATCTTTTATAGCATGGATTGAAGAAGGCAAAAACATTAGTTAGAAACTTATTGTAGACTTCTGGTAAAGATGACAGCTGGGTAAACATGCCTCACCTCCTCATACAACCATATCAAAATTACAGCTAAAATATAGAACAACCATCACTCACAACCATCAGAAATCAAGTTGAATTGAAGTCTGACAATAAAGAATTAAAGAAACCACAATTATCCAGACTGGTAGGAGAGCAGAGATTCGGAATGGGCTGGTCCCATATTCACGTGTCGTGGATAAAAATTCGATATCTTGAAAATGAGGAGTCCCAGCCCCATACTAGGCCTCTCAGCCCAGGGTTCCAGTGCCACCAACTCATCCAGCTGACAAGCCCCTGTGTCTTTGTTATAGGCTAGAAACATTTCAAATTGTGGAGCTTCTACTGGTCTTACAATTCCTTCAGTCTTCTTCTGGTGGTAGACTTTATTGTGACAACACACTTGGAATTGTAGGTACAGGCACCACCGGCTACCGTTTTTCATGCAGGAACCACAGTGTCAGATCCCCACAGTTTGTCTCTTCATCTTGGTTTTCCCAAAGAAAGGGCAAGTGTACTTGGATTTCAAGGGCAAGTGTACCTGGAGGGGTTAGTGTGATAGCTGATTTTAATTTTCTTCACCACTGCCTTTAGGGAGGCACCATAACTTGTCCCATAGTTACCAACGATTCCAGCCTTCTTGGTGCATTTAGCCATGCCACTGCAAACTAGGTCGGAATCCAGAGAGTGGCCCTCAGCTTTTGAAATCTGATGATGCTGCCATCATTGAAATGGTTTCTGGCAAAGGCACATGTGTTGAGAACTTCTCTAACTATCCTCCTCTAGGCCATTTTGCTGTTCAAGATACGAGACAATTGCTATGGGTATCATCAAAGGGGTGAACAAGAAGGCAGCAGGAGCTGGCAAAGTCACCAAGTCTGCCCAGAAAGCTCAGAAGGCTAAATGGATGTTATCCCTGATACCTGCTACCTCAGTCTTAATCAGTGGTGGAAGGAAAGTCACAGAACTGTTTGTCTCAAGTGGCCATTTAAGTTTAAGAGTAAAAGATGGGTTAATGATTACAATGCATCATATCACCTTCAGAAGGAGAAGGGAATGTTTTGTGACCACTTGGTTTTCTTTTGTGTGTGGCAGTTTTTAAGTTATTAGTTTTTAAAATCAGTAATTTTTAGCAGAAACAACTTGACCAAAAATCTGTCACAGGATTTTGAGACTCAAAACAAAGTTTAATGAGAAAAATTTTTTTCTTGTAGTAAATTCAAGTAAAAGGTAATGAGACTTGGAGCAGAAATAAATAAAAAGACACATATTTGAAAACAGGTATGAAGATAACAACGCCATGATCTGTTTTTTTTTTTTTTTTAATGTAGGGGCCAAAAGAGAGGTAAACATACTGAACCAAGGTGTCTGAGAAGATCTTGATGTAACTAACAGAGAAAAATCACAAAAGGGAAAAAAGACAGGCTTAGGAAAAGATGGCAAATTTCTTTTGGACATCCTTAGGTCTTATATTAGTGAAGAGTCTAAGCTTTTCCATACCAGTAGCTGCAGCTCTGAAACCTTGCTCTTTTCTTTTCTGGAAAGATGACACAATTGGGTTTTGAACTAGCTTATATTATTAAAGTTAATTTCTCACACCTCTCAGGAATATAGAGTTTGCTATCTTGCAAAATTGGCAGCATTTATATACTTATATACACAATCCCCTGACTGTACAAATTGAACCACAGGCCCTGCCTTGGCTTAGAACACTGGGGCATTGAAGGAGAAACATTTTATCTTTACCTTCTTGAGATATTGTACATTACAATACCCAATAATCCTATGTTCCTTTCCATGACTGTACACTGCGCTTCTGCACCATAATTTATGTAAACTAAGTAGTTGAGCAAGCATAAACTGTAGGCATCCAGTACTAGTTCAGCCTGACCCCAAGTATCGTTCTGAGAGAACTGGAAGTCTGGTTACCTCCTTCGCCCAGAGAGCTGTGCGCAGACACAAAACTACATTCCCCGACGACCTCTGCGCGGTTAGGCGCGAGTGTGCCTCTGTGTAAATATCCTTCCTATTGGTGCGCAGTGCACAGGGACGTGGTAAACTGGTGGGCGATTGGACGGATTCGTGCACGCTCACTCGCGCCGCGACGCTCCCTGATTTAACTTTTGTTTTTCCGTTGGCTTCTGTGACTCCGTGGCTTTAGAGTGGCGTGAGTATAGAATTTCGGGTTTCTGGGAAGGGACTAGGCAAGGGGTCTGGGGAAGGGAAACTTTGGTGAGGGAGGAGTACCTGTGGAAGCAGCACGGAAGACAGGGATGTGAGCCTGAAATGTGGGGGTTTGGGGTCGTCAGGAGTTCTGGGGACCGGACGTGGAAAGTTAGAATATGCAAAGGGAAAGATTTCGGGGTGCTAGAGCATTGGGGAGCTGTAACGACGGGGGAGTTGAGAACCAGATGAAACTGAAAAAGGAGTACAGAATTAGGAGGTCCTGGAGATAGATGGGTTCCGGTATTCCCCATCCCGCGCTAGTCTAATTAAGCTTCAATCTTATTTAAATTAATGGAGGATAAAAAAATACTTCACAGAGTTGTTGTGGGCGTAAAATAAATGTCAAAGTGCTAAGCAAATGTTAATTGTAAGTAGACAAGCTATTAAAAAAATACCTAAACAAGAATATCTCAGAGAAGGAGGAACAGAGGCAAGTTGAAACCCATTGATGCAATATAAGCAAGGACGTTGTTCTTTTGAGAGATACAATGAGAGATACAATAAGGCACAGCTGCTGCTTGCAAGGAGCATGCACTATCATGGGAGAAATGATAGCAACAAAGAACTCCAGTATGTACAAGTGCATTTCTTTTCCACTTGTACGAAACAAGTGCGGTTTTTTTAGCGTATTTGGATGGAGAGACTCAGGAAAGAGATGAAGGAAGTAGCATTTGAGTTTTTACGTACAGACTGGGTTTAAGTGAACTTGTGAGAGTGGAAGGGAGCTATGTTGCAGTTGTAGGAACAAAGCATGGAGGCAAGAAAGTCATCAGCAACAGAAGGTATAGTTAGGGGAGTACAGGGGAATGAGGCAGGAGAGAGAAGTTTGGTCCTTAGATGGAAAGCAGTGACCTCTAGGCTGAGGTTGAGTATTTGGCTATAAGGAGTTAGTGATGAATTGTATGACTCTTTTAAGAAGGTGATCCAGGGGAGACCAAGGGTGGGTAGAACAGTTAAGCCATCGTAGTACAGTGGTTAAGAGCATAGGGAGATCCTGAATTAGCATGGCTATCATCTAGGTAAAATACAGATAGTTATGTGGTTGGATGAGAGGCTCAATAGAAATAGTAATGAGCCCTGGCTGGTGTGACTCAGTGGACATGAGAGAGGCGACTGAATGTCAGGAAATTGAAAGAGATCTATTTGCTCATTCAACAAGTAGTTAATTACTCTGTGCCAGGTAGTGTTTTAATGATAGAGGTAATTATAAAAGCAGTGAAAATGATGTTCCCAAAGAAATGGATAGGGGAAATAGTAAAGAAAGTTGAGGACAGAACCAAGGGAGGGACATTTTCAGTAAAAATAATAATAAATAGTTATTGAGTGCCTGTATGTGTTAGATCTTCTATTCATTATTTCATTTAATCCTTACACTGACCTATAACATACATGCTATTGTCCCCATTTTCTAAGAAGTAACGGAAGTTTAGAGAGGTTAAATAACTTACCTGAAGTCACACAGCTAATAAGAGAGCTTTGACTCAAACTCAGGTCTGTTTGATTTCAGAACCCATGCTCTCAATTACAAAGCAATATTTTTTAAAAGGGTGGTCAACATTGACAAATTAAGCATACAAATCAAGGATGACTTGTTGGGTGGAAGATGGGAACCCAAAAGAGCAACTGAATTTATTAATTTGTATATCTGCTGACCAAGAAAAGCAGTTCTAGTTCAGATGTTAGAGAAGTCAGATTGTTAGAGATTATAAAACAAAATAAAAGTGAGTGTACATAATTTTTAGTAAATGTGCAATAGTCTGCAAGAAGAAGGAGTGAGATTGCCTGTGAGGGAGAAGAGAGATTTCAGATTGCTAGAAAATTCTTTTAAAGTTCCAAATTACTCTTGCCCTGCCCAGTGTGGCTCAGATGGTTGGAGTGTTGTTCTGTACACCAAAAAGTAATGGATTCAGTTCCCAGTCAGGGCACATACCTGGGTTGTGGGTTTGGCCCCAGGTAGGAGTACATATGGGGAGGGGGGCAACCAGCCATGTTTCTCTCTCTCCCTCTCTCTCTCTCTGGCTCCCCACTCTCTCCCTCCCTCCCTTCTTCCCCTCCTCTTCCTCCCCTTTCCTCTCAAAAAAAAAAAAAAATCAATGGATGTATTCTTGGGTGAGGATTAAGAAAAAGTTCCAATTTACTCTTAAGTAGTTTTAGAACAGCGATATTTATCTTTAAGATGTCTCCCATATTCATAAAATGGAATGTTATTTGTCCATAAAAAGGAATGAAGTACTGATACATACTACAGCGTGGACGAACCTTGAGAACATTATGCTAAGTGCAAGAAACCAGTCACAAAAGACCGCATATGTTATGATTACATTCATATGAAAGTCCGTAACAGGAAGATCTATAGAAACAGAAAGTAAATTAGTAATTGCTTAGGGCAGGGGTAGGGTAGAGCACATGGGCGATAGCTAAAACGTGTAAGATTTGATCTTGAAGTGATAAAAATGTACAATTTACTGTGCTGATGGTTGTACCTATCTGTGAATATACTAGTCATTGAATTATATACTTTAAATGACTGAATTGTATAGAATGTGAATTGTATCTCAATCAAGGTGTTTATAAAAATGTCACTTGTCCCTGACCACTGGTGCAGCTCAGTTGGTTGGGTGTCATCCTGCAGACTGAAAGGTCACCAGTAGGATTTCTGATCAGGGCACATGCCTAAATTGTGGGTTTGGTCTCCCGTGTCAGAGCGCATATGAAAGACAACCAGTTGATGTTTCTTCCCCTTCCATTCTCCTTCCCTTCCTCTCTCTCTAAAAACAAGCATGTCTTCAGGTAAGGATAAAAAAGTCACCTGTGATCCTACCATACCAACCTAATTACCATTTTTATTTTCTAGGTTATTTTCCGCAAGAGGTAATTTGGCCTAATTTGGAGAAGCTTTGTAGAAGAAGGTGAGTTTGAAGAAGGAAAGTAGTCTTTCAAACAAGAGAGTAAAGAGAGATGGCATATTTGAAGGGTTGGCTGGTAGAAGGTGGCAGATGGAATGACAAAAGCAGAAACAGATTTTCTAGCTAGATCGGATAGTAGAAGAAAAAGATGTTGAATAGAGTCAAATTCATATTGAGGACTTAAAATTATTTATTTTATTTTTTTTAAATGTATTGAGTGCCTACTATGAACAAGGCACTATTTCAGTTACTGCAGGTACAGCAGTGAACACAGTAGATAAAAAATGCCTGCCCTTAGTGAGTTTCCACATTTTGGTGTGTTTTGACATATTTTAAATAATCCTTTTAACTGCTGCATTGAGAAGAGACTGGAGGGGATGGAGTTGAAAGTGGAAGTAGAGAGACCATTATAGTCATCCAGGCAAGAGGTTATAGTGAGTTCAACCAGGGCATTATTGACATGAGTGGTTGTCAGACTTTAAATTTGTTGGTGGCAGAGCCTGTAGGACTTGCTAATGGATTGAGACAAAGAGAGGAGTGAAATTTCTCTAAGTTCGTTTTCCTAAACAACTGAGAGAATTGGGTTAGTAATTACTGGGACGTTGAGTTTGGAGAGAAGGTCAGATTTGGTGGTAGGAGGTATATATCAGGAGCTCAGTTTTGGAATTGGTGAGCTTGTGAGACCTGCTGGGCATCTAAGAGAAGACATGGAGTATGTGTGAGCCTGGAGTGGAGGGCAGAGGAAGGACTAGAGGTACACACTTGAAAACCGTGAGACTTCATGAATTCACTGAAGCAGTAAGTATAGATGAAGACAAGGAAGAAGTAGCAGTGACTAAATATTAATGATCAGTGAGGAAGGAGAACCAGGAACCTGTGATGTCCTGGAAGCCATATGAAAAAGGTTTCAAGGACTAGGGGAGAGACACTCTGGAGTTCCTAGCAGGAAAATGGTTATAGAATGAGCAATAGTGATTATCTCCTTTTTTTTTTCTAAAAAATCTTCCCCAAGGACTGAAGATTACAAACAGATATATTCTAGGTAGAACACAAGAACAGGACATCACATCATTCTTGACTGGCTCAAAATCAGAATGGATTGACAAAGCCTGCTTGATAAGAAAGCTTTTCCCAAAGCTAATTAAAAAAAACTCCCTCCTCCCCCCTCCCTCGTTTCCCCCTCCCTCTTTTCCCCTTCTCCAGGATCTGTCTCATCAGCACACAGTGCCTTTCCCATTTCCCTCTTTCCTCACTCAGGTGCCTTACATTTGCCTTTCTTGCTCCTAAGCTCCAAGGGCCCTGCTTCTGCTTCTGTAGCTTGTTTCCTGAGTCTGTGCTCATTACTGCTACCTCTAACTTTCTAAATAACCTTTCTCTAAAAAAATGAAGATTGTGAATGGACCTTTTAAAGTATATAAGTAATATTTTTTCTTTCTCTAAAACAGTAGATACAAAATAAAGATATCAATGGCTTTGTATTTATCTTAAATTTAGCATAATGGGTCTTCTACCTTAATTTTCACTTACTATCCCTTGCTTATTAGAAACTTTGTGCATCTCCGTGTCTTACAATTTCAGCAAAAGGAATGTTTTTGTATTGTTGCAGATAACCTTCATACCAAGGAGGGTTTTCTTTTTGTGCTTATCCATCCAAATATTAAATGCAATTCTGATTTTATTTGAAAATAATAATGACAAAGAATACCATATGAAAATTCAACAGTCATAACAACCTCGGGATTCAGAGCTACTTTAACAAATAGTACTGCATTTTAAAACGTCACACTCTCAGCAGCAGGCACACATATGACTGGAGAGGGAACCAGTATGTATGTTCTAGTGTTTTGTTCTGTTCCTGCACTCTCATTCTGAATTTTTGTATGTTTGACAGGTGAAAAAGACAGCATGAACTTTACCCCGACACACACCCCTGTCTGCAAAAAGTAAGATACTTGCTTATTTTTTGAGTTGTTAAAGAATCAAGACTTATATTAACCAGTGTTACCCCAAAAATATGACTTAAAAACAAAAAAGAATCAAGACTTCTCTAACCTTAGTGCAAGTTAGGTTATACTTCCACACTCTGGATTTGAACCATTTTAGACTCATTCTTATTATGTGGAATTTAGATTAAAAACAAGAACATACTAAATGATAATACCAGAATCTGGACAGATTGAGTGAGCCTAGCACGGTGTTAGTGCATCCTGGATTACAGAGGAAATAACCAATATACAAAAGGGACTTGGAATGCTGGTTCTGCTGTCACCTTGCTGCCTCATCCTCATTGCCACAATGCTCATCTGCAAAATCTCGGAAATATCTCTTAGTTCATCTACTGACCTATTTCCCACTATTGTTATAAGGCAACCCCTTGGGAAACATGAAACATTGGGTAAAATAGTATTTCTGTCACAGGCTTGAATGATTGAGACAATATTAGATTTTTTCTTCATGTTTGCTGAAAGTACATTTTAATATCTCTTTTATATATGCTCATTCATTAAAATTGGTGACCATAACCTTCATGAACTAGAGTTGTAACTCTTGATTTCTGGTATCCCAACTTCGTCGACTCTCTTGTCTATTTTGTTCCCTAGTAAGTTGCAGTCAGTAAGCCAAAATAGATTAATTTTCACATGAGGGTTTCTCCAATTCTGCATCATTTATTTTCTGACTTTCATTGTTTTAGCTTAAAAACACTTCTTGTCCAACCTTTGATCACCTTAAATCTTGTTTAGTCTTGGTTGGTGTAATACAGATATCTCCAGTGCTAGAGATTAGGATGTGATGTAGTTTTGTAGTGATTTGGCTATATTTTCTATTGCTGACTCTTCTGTAATGTTATTCTTAAGTGTCACCTTATGCATATGTGCACAAGTTTCTCTAGAACAAGAGGAATTGGAATTTTACTAGATTCTGCCAACTTGTCTTTAGTTTCACCAAGTTACACTTCACCAGCAGTATCATTGTTCCTGTTGGTGTATGTCTTATGATATTAAATTTTCTGTTGGTATCTAGCTTTATTTAATATTTCATTTTTTAAAAATGATATTTAGACTTCCGGCCAAGATAGAGGTATAGTTAGATCCTATCACAACCAAAAGAAGGAAAACACCAAATTCAAAAACAGCCCTGGCTGGTGTGGCTCAGTGAATTGAGCACTGACTGGCCTGTGACCAAAGGGTCACTGGTATGATTCCCATTCAGGGCACATGCCTGGGTTGCGGGCCAGAACTGCCAGACAATTGAACTGTATGGAAGTCCGACAACCAAAGAGTTAAAGGAGAAACATTCATTCAGACTGGTAGGAGGGGCAGAGACAGGTAGCTGAGGCAGAGAACATGCACAGCAAGGCAGTGGCTGGAGGACAGGAGCGGGTAAGGTGGCGGCTGGCAGACTGGATGGTCCCACATTTGCATGTGGATTAACCGCGAGGAACAACTAGGAAGCGAAACAGACCTCACAACCCAGGGTTCCAGCACAGGGGAATGAAGCCGCAAAACTTCTGGCTACAAAAACCTGTGGGGGTTATGGTGGTGGGAGAAACTCACAGCTTCACAGGAGAGTTCACTGGAGAGACCCACAGGGTACTAGAACGTACACAAACCCACCCACCCAGGAATCAGCACCAGAAGGGCCCAGTTTGCTTGTGGGTAAAAGAAGTGACTGAAAGCCAGTTGAGAGCTGAGCAAGCAGCATTGTTCCCTCTCTGACCCCTCCCCCCAAATATAGCACCACAACGCTGCAACCTGGGTTGCCCTGCCCTGGTGAATACCTAAGGCTCCACCCCTATAACATAACAGGTACTGGGAGACAAAAAAATATGGCCCAAATGAAAGAAAGATGGAAGTTTCAAAAATAGAGCTAAGTGATGAAGAGATAGCCATCCTATCAAATGCAGAGTTCAAAACACTGATTATCAGGATGCTCACAGAAATGGTTGAGTATAGTCCCAAAATGGAGGTAAAAGTAAAGGTTATGCAAGTGAAATAAAGAAAAATATATAGGGAACCAACAGTATAGGGAAAGAAACTGGGACTTGACTCAATGATATGGAGCAGAAGGAAGAAATAAAAATCCAACTAGAACAGAATGAAGAAATAAAAATTTTAAAAAATGAGTACAGGCTCAGGAACCTCCAGGACAACTTTAAATGTTCCATCTGAATCACATGGGTGCCACAAGGAGAAGAGGAAGAGCAAGAAATTGAAAACCTACTTGAAAAAATAATGAAGGAGAACTTCTCTAATCTGGCAAAGGAAATAGACTTCCAGGAAGTCCAGGGAGCTCAGAGAGTCCCAAAGAAGTTGGACCCAAGGAGGAATGCACCAAGGCACATCATAATTACATTAGCCAAGATTAAAGATAAGGAGAGAATCTTAAAAGCAGTCAGAGAAAAGGAGACAATCACCTACAAAGTAGTTCCCATAAGGCTGTCAGCTGATTTCTCAAAAGAAATCTTGCAGACAAGAAGGGGCTGGAAAGAAGTTTTCAAAGTCATGAAAGATAAAAACCTACATCCAAGATAACTTTCTCCAGCAAAGCTTTCATTTAGAATGGAAGGGCAGATAAAGTGCTTCCCAGACAAAGTAAAAGCTAAAGGAATGCATCATCACCAAGTCTTTATTATATGAAATGTTAAAGGGACTTATCTAAGAAGAAGAAGATGATCAAAAACATAATCAGTAAAATGACAACAAACTTGCAACCACCAACAACTGAACATAAACACAAAAACTAAGCAAACAAGTAGAACAGGAACAGAATCACAGAAATGGAAATCACATGGAGGATTATCAGTGGGGGAGCAGGAGAGGGAGAGAGGGGGAAAAGGTACAGAAAATAGCATAAATGGTAGGTAGAACATATACAGGGGGAGAGTAAGAATAGTATGGGAAATGTAGAAGCTGAAGAACTTGTGTGTACCATGCATGGACATGAACTAAGGGGTGGAGGTGCAAGACAGGGTAATAAAGGAGAGGAAAAAAAGGGGGCAACTGTAATAGCATAATCAATAAAATATATTTTTAAAAAAATTAATTTTAAAAGTCATCAATTATACTCACTTTAAGAACATAAACCTCACCCTAGCTGGGTGACTCAGTTAGTTGGAGCCTCATCCCATACACCAGAAAGTCGCAGGTTCGATCCTTGTTCAGAGCACACAACCCAGGTTGCGTGTTCAGTCTCCAGTTAGGGCCATGTATTGGAGGCAACCAATTGATGTTTTTCTCTCTCTCTCCCTCGCTCCCTCTCCCGCTTCCTCCCTCCCCCTTCCTCTCTCTCTCTTTCAGATCAATACACATCCTTGTATTGGGATTTTAAAAAAAGACAAACCTTTTTTAGTTAAAAAATTATGTTTCATAAATGCTTAGACAAGTCAATGAATATGTCCTTTCTAATTTCACACAGGCTGACAACTGTTTCCAGACATGGTTCTGTATGTGGCCTCAGTGGTTCTGCCAGGTGGAAGGGAGTGTCTTTTTCAGATTCAGTGGAGTCAACTCCTTTGCCTTCCATTGAAGATCGTCTGGCCGTTCTCTGCCCTTCTCAGGAGCTTCTGGAATATTACCAAAAGAAGATGGCTGAGTGTGAGGCAGAAAATGAGGATTTGTTGAAGAAACTGGAGCTATACAAAGAAGCTTGTGAAGGACAGGTAACAAAAAAGATGATGCATGCTGTTTCAGGACATGATTAAGTCTGTTCATGACTAGAGAAGACCTAGAAATGCCACCTTGTATCACAAGCAGATATTTTTTATTACTTTCTACCCCAGCTTAGCTACCTCCCTTTGGGTCCCTCATTAGATCAAAGCCCACCCAAACTGCTCCACCTCTGAAATCTTAAACTCTTACGTCTCATGTCTCTCATAGTTTTAGTTCTTTCACCCCCATACACCTGACTTCATTATTACCTCCATGGCTCCTTGACTTTTCTGTTTTCCAAATGTTGCGTATCAGTTTCTGACATTATGTCCTTTCTTTCTAACCTGAACTCTATCACAACTCACTTTGATGATAACTGTACTGTCTGCACATGACTCCTTGCCTGTTCTTTTGCTCCACTTACTTAGCAAAAAGCCCTAGCTGTACTTGAATTCTGTCCTGGAGCAGGGTTTCTCAGCCTTGGCACTATTGACATCTTGGGCTTTGTAATTCTTTATTGTGGGGTCTATCTTATGAATTGTAGGATGTTTAGCAGCACCCTTGGCCTCTACTTACTGCATACCAGCAGCACACACATACACACATACACCCTCACCCCACCCTGAGTTGTGGGCATCAAACGTACCTTCAGACATTGCCAAATTTCTCCTTGGGGTACAGGCACAATTGCCCCTAGGTCATAAATCATTACAGAATAAATTCATGGTAAATAAATTCTTCTGTATCTTCAGTTACTCCACAGCAATTAACTTACCTACCCCTAGTCAGTTCCTTCTCCTTTCCTGTCTTTGTTGTACTTTCCTTACTGTCCTGCAGCCTGCAGCCCTGTCTTAGCTGTCTCTTGTCAGGCAGCCTTGCTTTCTGGTTCGCAGGGGAAATACCAGCTATCATGCATAACTCCCTCCTGCCCATCCACACGGTCACCTCCCCCTGTGTCCATCTCTCTTCATATCGCTTCAGGGACGAGATGTCTTTCCCTCTTCAAGCTGAACTGATCAACTCTCTCCCTGGCCCCCATCCCTTTTTCCTCCTAAGAAACCCTTCATCATTGCTCTTCTCTTGGTGTTCTGTCTTCAACCTCTTGCTTAATGTGGGCTTTTTCTCCTCAGTACTGCCTGCACCTGACTCTTTGCTTATTCTTTTGCTCCACTTACATAGCAAAATCTCTTCTCTTTCTTTCACAGTGATCAAGTCTTTCTTTACTTAAAAAAAAACACCATTCTTGAGTTGTGCTTCTCCCTCTACTTTCTTATGTAGGTAGCTCTTTCTTTTCTTAGCCCCACTTCCAGAATAGTTTGACATTATCATCCATTCATGACTCTGACTGCAGTTAGGCCTCTGTCCTTACTCTGCTAGTAAAACTACTTGTGTGGTCTCTAATTCCCATTTGCCAAAATGATCTCCTCTTTGTGACCTTTGCAATATCTGTCACTATTGACCTCTGCTTTCTGAAAACTCTCTTCCTTTCTTAATTTCTATGTCATGTTTCTTTCCCGGTTTTTATCTCACCTCTCAGTCTCCATTAACAGGTCCCCTTCCTTAATCTTAAATGTCAGCGTTCTTGCAGAGTATGTTATAAATGATCTTATTTTTATCCATTCTACTACATACGGATTAATAACATCCAAAATAGCTAACACCGACTCTTTTCTCTTAAGCTCCATGTTCATATGTTTATATCTGAACTAATCTTCCTTTTTCAATGCTACCCACACATACACATACATACACATACACCACTATCATTTTCCTTCCCTCCATTTGTTTTCATCATTATTATTTATTTATTTTAGAGAGAGGGGAGGGAGAGAAATACCGATATGAGAGAGAAACATCAATTGGTTGCCTCTGCCTTCTGCAAGTGCCCTGACAGGGGCAAAGCCCACAGTCAGCAACCCAGGCACGTGCCTTGAATAGGAGTTGAACTGGAGACCTTTCGGGTTTCAGAACAATGCCCAGCCAGTTGAGCCATGCTGGCTAGGGTCCCCCCTCAAATTCTTATCTCTTAACTATTTTCTTTATTCTGTGTCTTACTATAATTCTGTGCAGCCCCTACATTCAGTCACTTAGTAAATTCTGTAGATTCTGCTTCCTAAGTATCCCTTAATCTATTCCAATATCTCCATCGTATTGTCTCAGCACTAGTTCAAACTCTTGTTATGTCACCTGCATTGTTACAATATCCTTCTTAACCAAGGGTATTTATTCCAGAGGAAGGAAAATGTCCAGCCTCTTGTCGCATACCTATTCAGTCTGCCTCTCGTTTTCCACTCCAATAACACTGAAATACGTGTAGTTGTCCAAACATTAGGACTCTTCGATGGTTCTGTATTTACTGTTCTCTTTCCTGAGGAGTACTCACCCTCATCTTGTCCCTAGCAGTCTTCACCTTTCAAGTTTCAATTTTTATTTATTTTTATTATTTTTAAAGATTTTATTTATTTAATTTTTTAGAGGGGAAAGGAGAGAGAAAGAGGGAGAGAAACATCAATGTGTGGTTGCCTCTAGCATGCCCCCCAGCTCGGGACCTGCCCCACAACCCAAGCATGTGCCCTAGACTGGGAATTGAACCGGCGACCCTTTGATTCATAGGCCAGTGCTCAACCACTGAGCCATGCCAGCCAGGGCTCAAATTTTATTTTTAAGATTTTAATTTATTTTAGAGAGAAGGGAAAGTGGGAAGAAAAAGAGGGAGAGAAACATTGATCAGTTGCCTCTCGCACGCCCCCATCAGGGACCAGACCTAAAACTGAGGCATGTGCCTTGACTGACAATCAAACTGGCGACCCACACTGGTCAGGTCTCAACTTTCAACTTTTTAATGGTGGTCTCTGACTTCCCAAAAAGGCTTCAGAGATTTTACTCTAGTCGTACTTTTCCTTCTACCATTTTATCAGATATGTTCCTCTGTGAAATAATTATTTTATTTAATTGTTTGCATGTCTATTTCTTTGCAAAATTCCTTAGCTCTAGGAAGAAAACATAATTTTGCATCTTTATCTTTCAAAATGTCATCATGCTTATTGAATAGAAAGCATTCTTTAAAAATTATATAAAGAACAGGTGAATCAGGTGGCATTCTGTATTCTGTAGTCTGTAAAAGATAGGAGAGCTTTGATGTTACATGGAAACATACTCACTTTGTAGCTTTTAAACTCAAATCTGTATACAACTTACTGTTGTCATTTGAAGTCTGTATTGGCAAAACCATTCACATAGTAATATTTCTATGGGTACTGTCACTTCCATATACAAGAGATACTCCTTTCATATACAAGAGATACTCCTGTGAAGCTCAGTCTCTCTTCTTTTTTTAAATTTTTTAAATTTAAGATTTTATTTATTTTTAGAGAGAGGGGAAGAGAGGGAGAAAGAGAGAAAGAGAAACATGGATGTGTGAGAGATACATCAGTCAGTTGCTTTTTGCATGCCCCTAACTGGGTACCTGGCCTGCAACCCAGGCATATGTCCTCACTGGGATTCGAACCAGCGACCTGAAAGGCCAACACTCAGTCCACTAAGCCCTGTCAGCCAGAACTCAGTCTCTTTTCAATGACTTTTATTTTCTTTCAGCACAAACTAGAATGGGATTTGCAGCAGAGGGAGGAAGAGATTGCTGAATTGCAGAAAGCTCTAAGTGATATGCAAGTCTGCCTCTTCCAGGAACGAGAACATGTTTTGCGCCTCTACTCAGAAAATGACCGACTGAGAATCAGGTAATGAGTAGGAGAAGGAAAATGTGGAAGTTATATTTCTAAATTACACTAAACAAGATAAGTTTCTCTGTGGTAATTCTCTTAAGTTGTATTGTCCAGGAAAAACACTCTGGAGTGGAGATTTTTCCTGTGGGATGGTTAGTAGCAAAGCTCTCAAGAATAATATCTGTGAGTAGACTTGAGCAGGGGAAGAATTTGAAGTGTGATACAGTGGTAACAGGCTTTAGCCAACCCTACAGGAGGAAAGGAATCACACTCTTGTACCTCCACAACAATCGGTCATTTGATATAGGCTGCCACCAGGGAGGGGTGTAAACTTGGGAGAGGCAGCCCCCTTCAGCCAAAGGCAATTCCTGGAGAAGGAATTCAACAACTGAGGGATATGTGTCTTGGTCCTGAAGGTGGCATCTGAGCGGTGTTCTACAGTATCCACTATAGTACACATGTTTTAAAAGTAACTTTTAACTTTGTATTAAAAAACACAATTGACCGACAATATCATTTTAGTTTCATGTGTACACCCCAGTGATTAGACATTTATGTAATTTATGAAGTGACCACCCCAATAAAATTAGTACCCACCTGGCACCACACAGTTATTACAATATTATTGACTGTATTTCCTATTCTGTACTTTACATCCCATGACTGTTCTGTAACTACCAAGTTGTAATACATCTCAGTCCCTTCCTTTTTCACCCATCCCCCCATCCCCTCTCATCTGGCAGTCATCAAAATGTTCTCTTATCTACGAGTCTGTTTCTATTCTGCTTGTTTGTTTATTTTATTCTTTGGATTCCACATATAAGTGAAATCATACAACACCTCTCTTTTTCTGCCTGACCCACTTCACTCAGCATAGTACCTTCCAGGTCCATCCATGTTTTGCAGATGGCAAGATTTCATTCTTTTTTATGGCTGAGTCATATTCCATTGTATATATACACAACTTCATCTGTATCCATTCATCTATTGATGGACGCTTAGGTTTCTTCCATATCTTAGCTATTGTAAATAATGCTGCAGTGAACATATGGATGCACATGTCTTTTCAATTCAGTGTTTTGGGTTTCTTCGAAAAAATATCCAGAAGTGGAATTGCTGGGTCCTTGTTATAGTCTTTTTTTTTTTTTTTAAAGATCTTGTTTATTTATTTTTAGAGAGGGAAGGGAGGGAGAAAGGGAGAGAAGCATCACTGTGTGAGAGAAACATTGATGAGAGAAACATCGAGAGAATCATCGATCAGTTGCTTCTTGCAGGCCCCCACTGAGGGGCCTGGCCCACAGCCCAGGCATGTGCCCTGACCAGGAATTGAACCAGTGACCTTTTGGTTTCTGAGATGACACCCAACCCACAGAGCAATACCACTCAGGGCTCTTTTTAAAAAAATTAATTACTTTTTTAGAGGGAGGGGTAAGGAGGGAGAAAGAGAGGGAGATAAACGTCTATGTGCAAGATAAACATCATTGGTTGCTTCTCGCATGCCCTCAACTTGGGACCTGGCCTACAGCCTAGTCATGTGCCTTGAGCAGTATTCAAACCAGCAACCTTCCAGTTTGTGGAATGATGCCCAACTCACTGAGCCACACCAGCCCAGGCTTTTCTTTGTTTTAAAGTCTATCTTGTCTGAAAAAAGTATTGCTACTCTACCTTTTATTTGTTGTTGATTTTTTTGTTTCCATTTTCATGAAATGCCTTTTTCCATCTCTTTAGTTTCAGTGTGTATGTATCTTTTGATCTGAAGTCTTTTGTAGACAGTATTTTAAGGGTCTTCTCTTCTTATGCATTCAGCCACCATGTGTCTTTGGATTAGAACATTTAAAGTAATGTTGATTGATATGTATTATCATTTTATTTTTCATATTTTTGGCTTTTTTTTTCTTCTTAAAGAAAACTCCAACATTTCTTGTAATACAGATTTGGTAGGGTAATCTTTGTTATAAGTCCTTTATTTGCCAATCCCTTTTGGCTGCAAAATTTCTGTTGAGAAATCAGCTGATAGTCTTACAAGAGCTCCCTTGTGTGTAACTAACTGCTTTTCTCTTGCTGCTTTAAAGAATCTCTCCTTGTCTTTAACCTTTGACATTTTAATTATGATGTGTCTTGATGCAAGCCTCTTTGGGTCCAACTTCTTTGGGACTCTCTGTGCTTCTTGGACTGGTATGTTTATTTCCTTCACCAAGTTAGGGAAGATTTCTTCTATTATTTTTTCAAGTAAGTTTTCAATTTTTTGCTCTTCCTCTTCTTCTGGCACCCCTCTGATTCAGATATTGGTACATTTGCAGATGTGCCAGAGCTTCTTGGTCTATCCTCATGTTTTGTTTGTTTGTTTGTTTGTTTTTTAATTCTTTTTTCTTCTTGCTGTTCTGATTGAATGCTTTTTTATTTCTTATGTTTCAAGTTGCTGATTTGATTCTCGGCTTCATCTTCTCCACTGTTGGGTCCCTGTAGATTTTTCTTTATGTCACTTAATGCAGCCTTCATTTCTCCCTGGGTCTTTTTTATGTTGTTAAAATACCCAGTGAGTTCCTTGAGCATCCTGATAACCAATGTTTTGAACTCTGAATCTGATAGGTTGCTCATCTCCATTTTGTTTAGCTTTTTTTGTGGAGTTTTGTTGTATTCTTTCATTTGGGCCATATTTCTTTGTCCCCTCAATTCGGCAGCTTCCCTGTGTTTGTTTCTGTGTATTAGGTAGAACTGCTTACTGCTTTGACTCCCTGGCTTAGTAGCATGGCCTATTATAGAAAAGGCACCTGTAAATTATGTGGGCTGGAGCCTTAGGTAATTGCCAGGGTGGGGCAAACTGTTTCACTGCTTTGTGGCTCTGTGTGCAGAAGGGCTCAGAGAGGGGACAATACTGCTGCCTGGCCTCTGGAGATTTGCCTGGGAGGAAGCCTATCTTCTAGCACATGCCCTGTTGCCAGTCACTTCACTTTCTCCCTGTATGTTACTTGTGCCTTTGCAGCTGTTGCCCTGGTGCTGAATCCCAGAGGGGGGTGGGTCTGCATAAGTCCTGAGACCTTTGTGGGTCCTTTAAGAGGAGTCTCCTGAGAATCCTGTGGTTTCTTTTGGTGTCCAAGCCACCACTGGTTTTTAAAGCCAGAAGTTATGGGGACTTGTCTTCCTGGTGCTGGAACCCTAGGCTGGGTGGTCTGGTCTCAGGCTGGGATCCTCTGCTCCCTAGGTATCCCTCCTGATTTTTATCCACTACATGTGAATGTACGACTGCCCATTCCTCCACCTCTCTGTGCCTTTCTGCGCCTCTTCACCTGCCTACCTGTCTCCATGTCTCTGTCCCTCCCACCCATCTGGATGGATGAGCTTCTTTAAATTCTTGGTTGTTGGACTTCCATACATCTTGGTTTTCTGACAAGTCTGGGTGATATTTGTTATGTAGTCTAGTTCTAATTTTTGCTATGGCTGTGCAAGGAGGTGAAGTGTGTACACCTATGCCTCCATCTTGGAAGTCTCAAGGGTTTTGTTGGTTTTTTGTTTTTTTAATTTTTATTTTTCTATCTTCACCTGAGGACATTTTCTCATTGCTTTGAGAGTGAAAGAAAGAAACACAGATATGAAAGAGCAACCTTGTTTGGTTGCCTTCATATGCATCCGAACTGAGAATGTGCCTACAACCTAGGTGTGTGTCCCAACCAGGAATCAAAACCGCACCCTTGTGGTATGCTGGATGGTGCTCCAACAAACAGAGCCACACCATCCAGGGCTATAGTAAATTTTGAAGTCAAGAAATTGAATCGTCCAACTTTGTTCTTTTTTCTTTTTTTATTTGTTAACAATTTTTATTTTATTTCTTTTATCATTCTTTGTATTAGTGTTCAACTTCAATTGTCTCCATTTTCCCACCACCATTTTCCCCTGCCTCACCCAACCCTGCTTCCCACCCTCCATCCTTCCCCACTTTGGCGTTGTCTGTGGGTCCTTTATACGACCCTTTGCCCTGTTTCCCCTGTTATCTCCCTACCCCCTTCCCTCTGGTTACTGTCAATTTGTTCTTTATTTCAATGTCTCTGGTCACATTTATCTTGCATGCTTGTTTTGTTAATTAGGTTCCACTTGTAGGTAAGATCAATTTGTTTTTCACCCCCTGGCTTACTTCAGTAAGCATAATGCTCTCCAGTTCCATCCATGATGTCACTAAGGGTAGCAGCTCCTTTCTTCTTTTGCTGCATAGTATTCCATTGTGTAAATGTACCACAATTTTTTGATCCATTCATTTATTGTGGTTGCTAGGTTGCTTCCACCACTTGGCTATTGTAAATTTTGCTGCTATGAACATTGGGGTACATAGGTTCTTTTGAGTTAGTGTTTCATATTTCTTAGGGTATAATCCCAGCAGGGGAATTGCTGCATCAAAAGACAGTTCCATTTGTAGTTTTTTGAGGAAATTCCGTACTGTTTTCCATAGTGTCTGTACCAGTCTGCATTCCCGCCAACAGTGTACTAGGGTTCCCTTTTCTCCACAACCTTGTCAGCACTTATTGTTTGTTGATTTGTTTATGATGGCTATTCTGACAGGCATAAAGTGGTATCTCATTGTGGTTTTAATTTGCATCTCTCCAATGGCTAGTGATGCTGAGCATCCTTTCATATGTCTCTGGGCCTCCTGTATGTCCTCCTTAGAGAAGTGTCTGTTTAGGTCCTTTGCCCATTTCTTTTAAGTATATTTTATTGATTATGCTATTACAGTTTTCCCAATTTTTCCCCCTTTATCCCCCCTCTACCATGCATCCCCTGGCCCTCCACCATCCCCCCCACTTAGTTCATGTCCATGGGTTGTATGTATAAATTCTTTGAATTCTCTGTTTCCTATACAATTTTTCTCTCTCCCCGTCTATTTTATGTCTACCAGTTACGCTTCTTATTCCCTGTACCTTCCCCCATCCTCCCCTCCCCCTCCCAACTGAAAACACTCCATGTAATGTCCATTTCTCTGATTCTCTTCCTGTTCTAGTTGTTTGCTCAGTTTATGTTTTTGTTGT